TTAGGTAGCTACGTCTCAATATTTAGCTTTAGCTCACTAGCAGTATCTACTAAGCTGCTCACCTCTCTTCCTCACACTTCAATCCTACCAATAAAATAAGGCCTTATAGCAGGCAATGGTGCAATCAATGACAGTCTCGTCGCTTCTCAGGCAACGGCACGGGCTTGGCCAGACATTTAGGCACACATAATTTCACTGCCGAGTGGCAAAGACGCCCGGAATGCACTTTTGTTAGGCTTCCCACGAACTCGTCGCATTCTACTTTGTTCTTTCACTGAACTCTCTTCATGACGACGTTTGCAGCACAAGGGTCTTGATGCGAGGGTTACTAACTAGTAAGTGCTGTAACAGGCCAGCAAGATGGCTGGTGACCAGGCTTCACTAGCGTGTCACCTATTGGATGATAAGAGCGTCATCCCCGTCTACCGGTCTGTTGAGGGCGGCAACATGGGTTCGACGGACCAATTGCAGCCGGATGGGCCTCACCAGGCCCAGTAGGGTGGAGAGACTGCTCCCATCCCCCGTCTCTAAAATGAACTAGTGAGCACCGTACATGCCTTAGATAGCTCTTCGACAAGTCTGCGGCGTGCAGAGGGCGGGGAAGGAACGATCGTCGAAAAGACTCCTGAGCCACCGCCACAAAATCATCGTTATGTTCATGTAAAACAGCAAGAGAAATAGAGAAGAATCTACTACTCTTCAATGAGGACGGAGAAGCAAGGATGGGGAAATAACCCCATCGTTCCCCAGGACACTTCAGCGATACAATGGGAGCAATTGTGGTTGCCATGGACAGCAACGTTTGGGCTTGTCGATTTACGTGCATACGGAGTACAAGGCGGTCGTTGGCAGGCAGCACGCTTTAAAAACCTCCTTCCCGAACAGTGCACATATGTGTTTTGGGTGTCTCATTCTTTTAAATCAGAGTCTAGTATCACGAGGTATCTTTGCTAGAATATTCTGAGCATGAAAGATCACCTTGGAGACACTTTAAGGCCAACAGGGTTTCTGAAGGCTTGTAGGATGTTTGTTAACCGCGTGCAGAGACCAAACTTGCTCATTTCCCCAGATTCCGCATTTCGGCCCACTACGCGTCTAGAAACGGAACCCACCTCTGTAGGTACGCATTTAGCGGACCAATTGACAACTCTTGGATTCTTCTTTTTAGCAGGCTTAAGCCGACTTCCATTCTCTCTCGTTACTGGTACCAGGAGATCAGAAAGTCACGAATCCATAGCGGGAGCCAATACATGATTCGATTCGATAGTCGAGCAGTTGTTGAGGGAACCAAACAAAATGTCTGCTTTGTTAATCGTAATGTGTCCCAAAAACCTGTGTTATTTATCGGTCCCGGCATACCATATTCTGTTATAGCCTTTCGTGAGTGACGAGTCCCAAACTAGGACTACGTCTGAGCAGTTATGAAAATCAGATGGCCTCAAATGACACAAGGCCAATGACGGTCTTCCCATAAACAAACCGACATCTATAACGCAACTATCTACCGAGGTACCCGGGCAGGTAGGTAAGCAGTGAAACAGTAAGCGGTTCAAGCAAAGCAACAACAAAGTTGAACAACATGGTGCCCTATGACGGGATGGATATGATTATGCGGAGGTTGTTTGCGATCACGTGATCACGCGCTTCAACAAGTTCCTTGGAGGCCCACATGACGATTCTCCTCCCTACGATCGTGAAATGTGAACCTACCAAGGTAAAGAGACAACGAATTATCAAGTTATTCCGTTTTGAGAGCTAGGCCAGCTTTCATCGAAGGGCAAGATGAAGTTCTACATTGAGTAAAATATCCCTCTTCATCACGTGTTACGTATATGGGTGCTAATTTGGCTTTAGTAAACTGCCTGTCCTTTTTCCGTATCCCAAGATATACCCAGGTATGCACCTTCAGAATGCAGAATGGAAGCGCTCAGAACTGACCAAGCAATTTTTAGAGCAATATGCGTAAGCTTCCATCTAAACTCACGGTTTTAATTTTGTCTCCATTTAACCGATATTTGAATAGGTATATGTGTGACTTGAAGAGTAACCGCGACGACCCTCAGTGTTTCTGGTAATGGTTTGGTCTTACCGACCTGGCTGACCCGTACCATCTATTCTTAGAAACACTTGATGCCGGCGGTCACTGCGTACTAGAAATGCCTTCAGGCACCGGCAAGACTGTATCCCTTCTATCGCTCATTGTAGCTTATCAGCAGTTCATGCCTGAAAAAAGAAAACTAATCTACTGCTCTCGTTTGTTGACCCCGTCAAAGTCCCTTCCCCAATATCTCCCCGTTTCTTCATCCTTTCCTCTTCTCGTTCCTCCTTGTCTCTCGGTCTAGTGGCTGATGAACTTGCGTGAAAAGGTACCATGTCAGAGATCGAGAAGGCTTTGGTGGAGCTGAAAGCTCTCATGAAGTATCGTACTGAGCAGCTCGGCTTCGAGGAAGATTTCCGCGGCTTGGGACTAACTAGTCGAAAGAACCTCTGCCTCCACCCCTCCGTCAAACGAGAAAAGAGTGGTTCTGTTGTGGACGCCCGCTGTAGGAGTCTCACTGCTGGCTTTGTGAAAGAGAAGAAGGACAGGGGTGAGAATGTAGACGTTTGCATCTACCATGATGTACGAATCCTTCAGCCCAACAGCAAAGTTCATTCGAGAAAGATTCTGTAGCATACTTGCGTAGTTTTTCTTCCTCTTGAGTCTACTGCTAATTTAAGACTTAGAATCTCGACCTTCTCGAGCCCCACAACCTGATTCCGAATGGCGTCTGGACTTTTGATGGTATTCTGCGGCATGGAGAGGAACACAAACAGTGTCCGTATTTTACTGCAAGACGGATGGTATGCCTGTCACCACTACCCTGCTCTAGCATCGACTAAATGAATCAGATGCAATACTGCAACGTCGTCATTTTCTCTTATCACTATCTTTTGGATCCAAAAATTGCGGAGCGAGTGTCTCGAGACTTTTCTAAAGATTGCATTGTCGTGTTTGATGAAGCTCACAATATTGACAATGTATGTATTGAAGCTCTCAGCACTGACATTACCGAAGACTCGCTACGTAGGGCCAGCAGAGGTGCACAAAATCTCGAGCATAAAATCACTGAGATGCGGGATACGGATCAAGAGCAACTTCAGAATGAATACCAAAAGCTGGTCCAGGGCTTACGAGAGGCGGACGAAGCACGCCAGGAGGATGCATTCATGGCCAATCCTAGTAAGCCATTTAGGATACAGGGCCCTGTTTTGTTCTGGCCTGACATTTTATAGCATTGCCAGAAGATCTGCTCAGGGAAGCTGTCCCTGGAAACATTAGAAGAGCAGAGCATTTCGTTGCTTTCCTCAAAAGATTTATCGAATACCTCAAGGTGTGTACAAATAAAATGACCGTCTTCAGCGTTATAATTCCTAATATACTCCCAGACAAGGATGAAAGTGCGTCAGGTCATTTCAGAGACTCCCCCTTCATTCCTAGCTCATTTGAAGGAACACACTTTCATCGAAAAGAAACCCCTCAGGTTTTGCGCTGAGCGCTTGACGTCCCTTGTTCGGACACTTGAGCTTACCAATGTCGAGGATTATCAGCCGTTGCAGGAAGTGGCTACTTTTGCGACGTTGGTTGCAACCTACGAGAAAGGTTTTCTTCTTATTTTTGAGCCCTTTGAATCCGACACAGCAGAGGTGCCTAATCCTATTCTGCATTTTACGTGTCTGGACGCAGCAATAGCTATTCGTCCTGTTTTCGAGAGATTCTATTCTGTTATTATCACGTCTGGTACAATTTCTCCTTTGGAAATGTATCCCAAGATGTTGGACTTTTCGACTGTGATCCAAGAGTCATACAGCATGACACTTGCAAGACGGTCATTCTTACCTATGATTGTTACACGCGGAAGTGATCAAGCCTCCATTTCGACCAGTTTCCAAGTCCGCAACGAACCTAGTGTGGTGCGAAATTACGGGACACTTTTGATCGAGTTCGCTAAAATCACTCCTGACGGCCTAGTTGTCTTCTTTCCATCGTACCTTTACATGGAATCGATCATCAGCATGTGGCAAGGCATGGGTATTCTGGATGAAGTGTGGAAATATAAACTTATTTTGGTGGAAACTCCAGACGCTCAGGAAACGTCGTTAGCCCTCGAGACCTACCGCACCGCATGTTGCAATGGTAGAGGAGCGATTTTATTATGCGTTGCACGGGGCAAAGTCTCAGAAGGCATCGACTTTGATCACCAGTACGGCCGCACGGTACTCTGCATTGGGGTCCCTTTTCAATACACGGAGTCCCGAATTTTGAAAGCACGTCTAGAATTTTTACGCGAAACGTATCGTATCAAGGAAAATGACTTTCTTTCTTTCGACGCGATGCGCCACGCTGCTCAATGCCTCGGCCGTGTCCTGCGAGGGAAAGATGACTATGGAATCATGGTTCTTGCCGACCGCAGGTTCCAGAAAAAGAGAGCTCAACTGCCCAAATGGATTAATCAAGGCCTCCTGGATGTCGATACGAACCTTAGCACTGATATGGCAGTGAGCAGTGCAAGGAGGTTTCTGAGGACTATGGCGCAACCCTTTCACGCCAAAGATCAGGACGGTATTAGCACGTGGGGCTACGAAGATCTTCAGAAGTATAAAGAAAAAGTGGACATGGAGAAGATCCGTGAACTCGAGGATGCGGCAAAGAATCTGGGTGACGAGGACACTGCTCCAAGTAATCCCTATGAATTCGATGACGAAGAGTTAGACCAAGAGATGATGAAGCTGGACGATTTCTAATAAAGCACTAGGATAGCATCAGTCAGCATGTTAATGGCGGCGTTGGTAATGGTTTCAGGAAAATTCAATTTTAAATGGCATTTGCGTTGAGAAACGAGCGTGTACATGAAAGAACCAAACCAATACAATTACGCGGTCCCAAAGGTAGTTGCTATGCAAATTGAACCAATGTAGTGTCACGAGAGATGCGGGTCGATTGCCTAACCAAACAAATGAATTCACCTCTCCAATGAAAATCGCTTGATCCCTTTCATGGCTCGCACGACTGGGATTGAAAAATTCTTCCCGGGCCGTCGCCCAATTTCCAGACACAACATACGAACGAAGTCTTGATTAACCCAATAACTTGTGTGAGCACTGAGCATATTAAGATACTGGATCTCTAATGGGCCGCCTCCAGATCTTAAAAACCAATCAATTTGGCCATTATCATTGAGTAGAAACATCCGTTTTTCGGCGATCTCTTCACGGGTGAAATCATGAACCTCCAACTCTAGTTGGGAAGGAAGCCGTATTATAGAGGGTCTCTCGGGATGCGTGACTAGTGGATCAGTTGGCAAAGATAATCCTGGCACAATATGTCGCATGACGTCGCCCACCGACTTGAAAATTGAAGTTGTTGTGCTTGGGACGTAGGCTGGTTTAAGTGCTGAGGCGTATGCAGGGTCTACTGCCCCATTTAACAAGTACGCAATGGGGTCCTCTTTAGCCAAGATGTTGTAGATGTTATCCACAGCCAGACAGCCGAATCTGCCAGCGTCACTTACGATGTTCTCATCCATTATATCTCTAGGATCTGCTCCTGGTTTTCGGCGTCCGCGCCTTGGTGTTAAAGCCCCGCGCTCAAGAAGCAAGAAGAAGCCAGCTGGACTTCCGAGAAGGAAGAGATTAGTTGTGTCAAACTCAAAGAATCGCGTTTCCGGCTCAATTCGATTCAAATCCAAGCGTGGCACTTCCGTCGGCTGTCGAGAAAGTATGTCGACTGACATAACGCTGCCCAGGGAGTGCGCAATAAGATGAACTCTTCCTCTGTCTGCAAAACCTGGGTTATTTCGACACCAAAGCCGGTATATTCGGTTCGCTTCAAACACAAGAGCATTGATCATTTTGCTCTTGTGGTGTGACATATAAAATGGTATGTCAAACATAACATCAGAGATGATGCTTCTAATTGCAGGAATAGTGTTAGGCTCAATATCTTTCAAACCAAATGGTTCGTTCATTTGCTGTTCGCCAGTTTGATGGTTTGCTGGGCCACCGTCCTCAAATGAAAGCCCCATTCTCCAATTTAGTGGCAGTATCATAACGCCGTTCTGGTCTTGACGCATGACGTGTTGAATGATGGGATTGCGCATCTCGTCGTTAACGGCACGTCGAAAACCATTGATGGCGTGTGTGAAATGAAAACTCTCGACCCTTTCCGCAAACTTTTGACCGATGCCGTGTGCCACAAGAATCAAATCCGTCACCTGACCATTGTCTTTGTCGGCTTCACATGCGTCACAAGGTCTATCTTTGTTGTTTTCATGGGAACGCGATGTTGTTTCCGATGTTCGCCGTGTTTCTTTGTTCCGGTTGGGAACATTGCATTGTCCATAAAGACGATCCCAGGCTTGCGAATCAAAGCCTCGAACAACAGGGATACCGACAGTGAAACCATTGACAATCTTTGACACTGGTCTTCTTCCGTAATAAGCAGAGGGTCGGAGGCTAGGCTTTAAGAGAAACGCACGCCTTTCATCCTTGTAAATAACATGGTAATTCGAAAACGCTCGAACTATCCCTTCTTTTTTTGAAGAACTCCCTTCAACAATAGGATCAATAGATCCTTGCGCAGCAGCATCCCCTCGATAACAGTGTGCAGAACAAAACACCTCGGCAGATATCCTGGGCTCTCCTTTTTGCATTTCACTGTTGAAATACTTTGAGTCTTGGGGCCAAAGGCAATACGAAATCTTCTCTTCACCTAGTGGCCCAACCTCGACGGCGCAGTTTAATTCATCTCCCCACGTTTTAGTCCATGGCTTCAGCTCTTGATAACCAGCTTCCAGTTGATTTGCTACCAAGGGGCCCACGGGCATCATCGTATCTCTAGTACATCGTTAGTAACCAAACAGCGTCAATTAAAGAATAGCCTTACCTATAGAACCAAGTAGCTCGCATCACAACAGCCACATCATTTACAGGTGACCAATATATAGGTTTCATCAAAAGTGCTGGAAGTGACACCTGATGAAGTCTCGATATACCCACAACAACATCTAGAACACTCGCGTCACTCTCAGTCTCTTTCTTTGAGTCAGGTACATGGTGATGAAGTGCGATACGGTCATCAATCTGGTGTTTACCACTCAGCTGTTGGCGGCCATCCGAGGTTGAAATCCCTGGTTTTGTAAAAGTCGACTTGCTTCCAGCCTGAATAAAAGAGTCGCCAGCCATTCCCACGCTTGTTCCAGGTAAGCTTGGTCCAGGCACGTCCATAGCGGTTTGGCCCGATGAGCTCGGTGTGATCCTTGGTGATGATTCAGGTAGCCCCTCCCGTGCTACGAGCCTTCCAGCACTTGTGGCCGGCGCAGCTTGTACTTCGAGAGACGTGGGTTCCCTTCTCCTTGTGGACAAATCGCCGAGAACTGAATTCTGCTCAGAGTCAAGGGAGTCGACTTTTGTCTTGTTTATAGCCGTCATGGTGTCCATTATTTCCCGCTCCGTAGCTTCGATCGTGAGTTCTGGATAGGCTTTGCGGGCTAAAGCGCAAAAACGCTGTTGCAGCATTTCCGAGGCGTCGGCACGCAAGACTGGGCAACACGCTGGTAATTCACCCATTTCCGCACTTGTGCTCGCGGCTTTATTATTCGAAGGCGGGCCATACAAGGTGCCAGCGTGCAGTTCAAGGTGTTTCAAAGCGAGGGCTTCCACGAGTTTTTGTCGTAGTCGCAGAAGCCCCGGACTGGAGTTTATGCTTCCGTATCGGCCTGCTCTAATCGCTTCATGTTCAGTACGGTAGTGATCCGATGCAAGACTCATCCATGCCTTCTCCAGTGCATTGTTGTCACCACGATCAAATGGCCGAAGCTGTCGTCTCACCGACTTGTTGTCCGAAGTGCTAATATAGCGCTGGTTTGATAACAGCTCGTCTATCGGTATCAGTGACGAATAGAAAAACTGGGAGACAATTTGCGGCATCCCATTCTCACTCGGATGTTGTGGTATTGGCGCCAAGCGGCAATTAGAGCCATAGGTGTGCGGAATTGACGTCATGTTGGGCAGCCTCTGTGACTCGGAATAACGACCATATATTGTGGAAAACTCCAGATTTGTCGCCCCTGATCACCGACCAAGCTTACTGTTACAGGAATTCCACTGAAGCAATTCTTTGTGTCGGGTGTTCATCGTGACAGGAGGGAGGGACGAGGCTTTTGGACTTGCGAGCGTCATCCATGACAAGAGGCCCAGCCGAGTCTCAACTACTGAGGTATCTGGTTACACCACAACGCGAGGACGTGGAGCGTGCCGCGGTTAACAGTGGGGTCGTACCAGACCGGAAACTGAAGACGTTTGGCGCCACCTAAATTCATCGGCGCCAAGTTCGGGGGGTTTTCCTTCCATCAATCGCCTAACATGTCTGACATCAATGATGCTATTCCATTGGGTTGTTGCTAGTCAAAGGATCGTCCACCGCATGGCGCTTTTCACACTCACACATCCAAGACCAAGCAAACTGGTTGAAATCGCCAAGTGGTGAACAAGGAGTGACACATATGCCCAGAGACAGACACGACTAAACCAAAATATGTCCGTCATCATCCCGTCACGTAGTCGGCCATTTGCACAGATATTTCTTTTTGTGATGCACCACTAACTGCCGGTCAGCCAATTCGGCATTTCGGAGTTTTGTGTAGGTCTCCCTATTTTAATTTACCAATGGTACCAAAAGATCCCACTGCTCCTTATTGTGAAGAGCAAACCCTGGAAATTCCAGTATGTGAAATTCAGCTTTAGAAGCAAATCGCTGTGTAGGCTCAATTCGGGCTTTCGCCGCCACGGTTCACCACCATCTCGCCTCGGAGCACAAGATGATGGAAATACCCACTTATCAACCGATTACAAACATGGCCATATCATAAGGCAGAGCAGGTCCTTTTATGCAATGTCTACCTACCTCGTTCTACAAATATGACAGCGCTTCATCGAGATATGCCGAGCGTGGTGTTATGAGAGGCCCTTTGCCATGGACCAGAAAGTTTCTAGCTTTGCACGAGCGAGAGCCTCCCGGGCTTCAGCGTCAGTCTCGCATACTTTACTACTCCATCTTCGAAAAACCCGTGCTTTCTGTTCCCCTTCAAATACAAGCTTGCACTCGTTCAACGACATATCCTTAAGTGCCCCATCTTGATCTTCCGCTTGTAGCCAGTCCCTTCCCGAGTTGGGTCTGTCGTCCCCAGTCCTTGAAGGTGAATTCTCCGTCCAGTCGATACGATTAAGCATCAATTTTTTGTACTTGTTGATGCTCCAAGCGCCTCCTTCAACAACAACCAAGTTGAACTTAGGGTGCATAATGCAAATGCCAGACAAGGCAAGCTGAGTAGCATTCATTCCAATTTTGTACCGATGCTGGCCATTTGCCAAGCTCGAAATCTTGAAAACCAAAAGATGGATTCCTTTGTCAGCATCCCTCTGCTGATTCTTAGAGAGCTTTTCCTTCTTCTGATCTTTTGATAATTTTCGATCTTCGTTGGATTGAACATGTTTCTGATGTCTTTCCGCAATTTCGCGGTTGACTCTTGCTTCTACGGCCGTGGGGTCCTTTACGGCAACTGACACAACAGGATTAGCACGACGTACAAACGGGGACAATCGGGCCACATACCATCGCCCAACACCCGCATCAAATTCCCCTTTTTCACCTTGGGAGGAGGCGCCGGTATCAACCCAAGGCGAATCTTTGCCTGCATTTCTTTCAGCTCCGCCATTCTGCGTTGGCGTCTGATTTTGGCTTGTTCTTTGGACGTTAGAAACATTGCTTTGTTTTCTAGGACGTGACGATCTTGGGGTGGTTCGAGCGCGACAGGATGCTGGATGTACTCTGTCACAATGCTATCGGGACTTATTATCTTAAGGCTGGCGGGATTTCCGATCTGCTCGTAGCTGTTGCCATCGATAAGCCCCTCATCCCACCACTCGACATCCGGTGGTTGCTCAACCACAAAGTTCTTCTCAACATCTAGGTCTTCGTTGATACCGGCTTTTCTGGTCTGTTCTGCAATACGTTTTTTCATTGCTTCAAGTGCTGCTTGTCGACGAAGTGCACTTGCTTGCTGGATATATTTCCCTTTTTGATTAAACACTAGGCGTCTTGGTTCTCGCTGTCGGGCACCGGAACTTTGGTGCGCCAGATTCTCGTCTAAATATGGGTTATCGACAGCATCGCTCTGCGTAGCCTGCCCAAACTTGCGGCTATTAGCAGCTAGTGTACGGTAAGGTGAATGGCCAGCATGCTGCTGGGCGCGAAGTTGTGCGGTTTTGATGGGCAGATCTCGAGTATTTGGGGCCGAGTTTCGTGACCTTGAGTCTTCAAGCCTAGAGGTAATGACTCCTTTTGCCTTACTAGCGCCTGTAGCTGCTGCTACTCGAGCTTTGAGAGCCGCCAGGCGATCAAGACTTGTATCTGGCTTCTGGATGCGAGCCGAAGCGTCACGGCGAGGGCCGAGGCTCGCCGTCTTGGATAGATCCATCGCGTGAGTGTTTCGAGGAGCACGACAAGAATTGCTTGACTCTCATTCGAGATATGTGTTTAGATGTAGGACGCGAAAAGGGCGTGATCAACCGATATGCGACGTTCTGTGGATGTTGATAGTAACAAGAGGACATGCATGTCGGCGGGGCCGACAGTAAGATTAGGATGGTCCCACTTTTAGCCCCCTGTGCTAAAAATTCTGCCCATCAAAACCGCCAGATTTTCTTCTTATTAAATTCGTTGAACACGTCATTTAAAAAACCATGGCATCACCGCGATATCCAAGACCTAGTCTGCCATTGACTTCGTAACCCCGACATCATTGCAGAATAGAGTTCACATTCCTTCCTGCTGAGGAAACAACCCGGCTTCATGACAATCTTCTCAAACCGATTCCTGGTGGCCTTTACGTTCCATCATCAGTGTCCTAGGACTATTCACTGTGGATACTGAAAAGTATGGCTCTCATGGCTCTTCGCTTACCACGTTCAGGTGCCCGACTTGTTTGAAACAATCTCACTGCCCAGGACATTTGCTTCCATCATGCTTTCATTCCCCGGTTGCTTTTCCTTCTTTTAAATAAGACGTGCTGCCGCCTCCGCGCAACTCATTAACTGCAAAGGCTGTCGGGCTCCTTCGAGAGATTTACACGAATATACTATGCGAGTCGCGATTACCCCGATGTGGAATTATTAACGAGGTCTGAAGGATGGCATGAAAAGAACGACTTGGACTTTCGACTAGGCGGTTCGGCGGATATTGGTGGTAGCGAGGCAGAAAGAAATATCACGCACGACAATGTCACCAGAGTAGGATACGCTTTTTTTCTCACCGATGGCTTTCGTGAAAGGGAGTTAAAAGAGGGCGACATGACACTGTGAAATCATGAGAAGACCAACAAAATGCGCCGTGAAGTTACCTACGCCCCCGCCACCGAATCCTCAATAAGAGAGCATGACTTGGCTGTGATGGCATTTTCACCCTTCTATGGAAAGTGCTGTCTGTTGAAACTTTTTTCAGTCTCTATCTGGCAGAAGAAGGCCAGAATAGTGTTGAAGAATCTCAAATGAGCTGGTGCAATGGCGCGCATTTATCAAAAGCGCGCGACAAACAAGAAACATGAAGACCACAACTCTGATGAAGACATGCCAGACGTCGATGCACCTCTTGTGGGAAGGCGTCGATTCCAGTACTGATATAGGCTCGGAAGTCGAGAAACCAGGTGTTGATGGGATACCAATTTAACAGTTGTCGCAAAAGGAATAGCGGTCCAATGGAGATTTAAAGCGACTTTGATCGAACTATTCAATGAGGACGAAGTCTGGCTTTCGCTTTTGTTCAGCGCTAAGCCGCAACGCGAAGCTCCGGCGTGCTATTTAAGATTGTCCCCGCGAGTGCTCATTTCCCAAACTCCTATCAATCAGATACGAGAATATGAGTACCCGAAGTGTAGAAGCACGGTAGAATTGCTCTTTCAATCTAGACTACAATGCAACAACAAAATGCCTTACATATGTTACGAGCTGGACAGTAATGGGTCAAATATCACCCAGCTTCAACAGACTAAGAAACAGCTACACAAAGGCGTGATTTTACATGATTGGTATAAGAAGACTCTTGTTCAAGAAGCTGCTGCGAAATTCGCCCAAGATAATATGAAATAAAAACCAGAGCAAGAGCAAGAGCAAGGTGTAGGATGGGGTAGGCTGGGAAATGTATTGATTATACCACCCGCTGTGTCATTCTCTTAACTCGAATGTTGAAACTAAGCGAGTTGTCGTTCCCCTAACATGCAATTTTCCCGGAATGAGGTCGTCCAAGCAGAGGCTTTGCAAATCACTGACATGACTACTCATGTTTGTCAGAAGCCGCTGCAAAATATCAGTGTGGCTTAATTCAAGATCACATGCTTGATATGCTAAAGGAGGCCTACTACCTGGTGTTCATTGCCTCACATTTAGCGGCGAACTCCCCAAGAAAGATGTACTACGCGCAGCCAATGAAGTTGGTCTAAAAGTCAAGCCTTGATATGCATGCTTGACGATAATACCGAGCGCCTCCGGACTGTCTTCTGCTAGAATGTTTCAAGGTTTTGCGAGATGATAGCAAGAAGATTGGGATCTTCTACCACTCAAGTCATTAGAGGCATGATGGATACTGTACATCGTGTGCACTTCCAAGTGGAATGAATAATGCATTACCCAAGGAATTATATACAAATCACGGCAACACCTGAAGCCGAAGAGACTGAAGTCATTGTCCGTTCATTTCTGGACACCTTGACCAGCAAGCCTTGGAAGAGCGACGAGTTCCTCGCATGGTTCGCGACAGTAGCTCATTGCACGCCTGAGGCTCTTTTAAAACCCGTGTTAGGCTAGCCTGTACATTGCGAATCGATTGACTACAGGCGGTTTTATGCAATTGCTGCGTTGGCTGCGAGCGACACAAATTGTTCGCCACCAGCGTCTTACAGCTCGGCCACATTTCGGATCTCATATCGGTCAAAGAAAAAAGAAGGACATGGGGAGAATATACGGCCTTGCCATAATATACAACGTCCAGCTCGGGTACCCCCCTCCCACCGAAGGCTGTCGATGTCACGAATATTATCGAACAGGAAACTTCTGAGAACAATCCGTTCAATATGAAGGAGGAGCAACTAACAGGAGACAGGCACAGGTTACAGATGGAAGGCCTGGCATTGGGGTTCAGGAGCGGGTCGTGGAAATGGCAAGACTAGAGGATGAACCTGAGCCGCGAGACGAAGACTGTGATGACGACGACAATGCCGGAAACAATGATGCAATAACTGTCAGTAAGTGTGGCAACCGCTCTGATACCGTGTCCCCGAACCGAACGATGTTGAAAATGGCCCCAACTGAACAACGCATGGCCAAGACTGGATGACTGATGGTGAAGGAGCCGCACAGACTGCACATCAAGTTGAATTGCATCTTGACATCTCGCAACATATCATACAGTCTCGCAGGCTCAAGCAAATGCAAGCGTGTAAAACCCTTCAAGGGAAGTTTAGTACAGTATTAACAGAGCATATGCACTCTGATCTTTACTCTCTATAAGCCTTGTTACTTGGTCTCGCTTCGACATTCATGGAGTCTCTCCGTCCGTCCGTCCGACTGTGGTCACTTGCCATGCAACGGACTTATGAGAACCACATTTACTCCATTATCAATCCCTACCCTATAGGTAAGTGACATTATTAGTATCAGGGTCCGATCAGCGGCGCGGTCAAGCGTAAGCATTGGGATAGCGTCGTAGTCCAGCCTCGCAAAACTGCGCCTGTGCCGATTTCTGCGATGGTTGAGCGAAGAATTGTAGCGACGCAGCCCTCATCAGCAGCTCACTGCGAGTAAGTTGTCACGATTACTGCGTACAGAGTAAAACCCCTCGGCTCGAAGGCGGCCAAGTGCCAAAGAAACCACAACGAACAAGAATAGGTGAGTTGCCTGCAAATGACTTTTGTGGGCTGGAATCTGGAACCTCTGGTGCACAAGTAAAAAAACTCGGTGCCATATAGCCATTGCTGGCACTTGAGGGGTTTGCGTCCATGGCTGTCGAGGTTGGCCATGTATGAGTGGTCTGCCGGAATGAGTTCTTGCGGGGGGGCGTAGACGCCAGCATTGGCGCGTGGAGAGCGTATTGATCAACATGTCAGCTATTATTATATGGAGTACAGTATCTAAATCCTGCACAACGGACTTTGGTGACTGGTACTAAAGCAGTGCACGTTCTGCATGCCTGAAGCGCGATCGGTCCTACTAGATGGCTATTAGTGTTCAGTGTTGGGACTTATGCTGTTGTTGCTATTACCACCTACCTACTAGGTACCTTGGCACGCGGGTTGCAAAAAAGGCCGCACACCCCGCACCCACAACCACACACACAGGTGTGCGGCCTTTTTTGCA